AAACCTGTCACATATCAGATGATCCTCCCCAGTTGTTATCCCTCAGCAGCAGTAATACAGACATCTAGATGGAGGAAGCGGTTCTCCTTTTTCTTCTCCTTATACTACTTCCACATTCATGTATAAAACAAATGAAAAACCTCAAATGACGCGAGGACAGTAACAAATGGGCTGAGCCAGCCCATGATGTCATGGCCGATTGCGCCCATTTGTTTTCATTTTGATAAGACTTGCAATAGCGATTTGACAGATGTCGGCAAAATGTAAACAGATAGGCGGAGCCAGCGGTAATGTCGCCGCTAGCCTATCTGTTTACATTTGGTGGGAAACTTTCATTCTGCGGCAGGAGTTCGTCTCGTGCAGACGGGTGTCAGGTTTTTTTTATTTTGACGAGTCGGCGGCAGTGGACAACGCTGGAGGTCGTCATTGACCCTTGGATTATCACGATGGTTTAATTTTTTTAATTAAAAGAACTGAAAAAAACTATTGTTTTTTTCAATTGAAGGATTTTTAAATTCTTAAACTGTGGGCTCTTTATTTACTTTAACCCTTTAGTGAATGAGTAGGGATACAAGTACCCCTTATTCACAAGGGGGGGGCAGCATCTGGGTGCCCCTTTATTAAAGGGGGTACCCCAATGCAAATAAGCCCCCATGCCCAAGACTCCCACATCTGGCATCGGGACAAGGTGCTTTTCCAGGGGGGACCCCTGGAAAGAAACCCTCCCAATACCATGGGCATGTGGCCTGGCATGGTGCAGGGATGAAGGGCACTCGCTCGTCCACACCCCCTTTCCTGCCCTGCCATGCCTGTGCACGGGTTAAGGGTCTGGTTGGGAATTTTAGGGGGGACCACACATTTCTTTTCCCCATTTTTTGGGGGTGGAGTTCCCCCTTACAATTGCTACCAAACCTAAAGGGCCTTATATGACTTTGCGGGGAACCCCGCACACTTTTTTTTTATTTTAACTCGAGGGGTCCTCCTAACTTTCCTACCAGAGCTAAAGGGTCTGTTATGGATCGGGAGCGGGACCACACACCATTTTTTAATTTGTTTACATTTTGTGCAGAGACCGTTCTCCCTGCTTCGGCTGTGATTTCGGCTCAGCTGAGCCAAATCTTATTGTGAACCGAAGGTCTCTCGCGGCTGAAGTGAGCCGAAGGATTAGCTGAAGCTACGACTATATCCTTCAGCTCCTTTGTGAATAACCCCTTAAGTGTTTGAATCACAGTTCAGGCCACTTCTGGGACCTGAAGTCTTAAGTAAACAAGGAACAGGGGAAAGCTAAACCTGTACATGTCTGAAAATATCTATGTTGTCACCCATTGCACCCCAGGAAACTAGCATTAGGCCAGGATAAAACCTGTAGCTCTGACTTTAAACCTTTGCCTTTGCCATATCTCCATTCTCCTGACCAACATATGTATGCATGTGAGGAAGGGTGAAGCTGCCATAGATGTTATAAGTATGTATTTGCATGCAGAGCACCCTGGGTTCAGGGGACTACTAAGCACACTGGAGAATAAAATGAGGTATGTATAGTCACAGGCTCAGCCTGGCCTACTGGACTTCAGTGCCAACTGCATAGGCCTTCTAGCCCAGTAAGGTCCTCCTTTCCCAGTGTCAGAGGCATATAGTGTAAACAAAGCACATAGAACCACTGAGGCGTGGGGTGGATGCTGGGGAGTGTTTATGTGCAGGTGCCTGTTACCCAATAACGCAGTCAAGGCATAGGCACTTGCAAGGACATCTGTGCCACTTCACCTGCATGCTAGATGAGATAATCTATGGTCTGTAAATAATAAAGGACAAGATCGTTATTTTTAATACTTTATATTGGAGGCTTTATTTTTTAATTTGCTAGCTTATTTACTACAAACATAGACATTGAGACCTTGTTCACACCAAATGCAGAGCAGATCCGGTCAGGTTTCTGCACACGCAGTGCAGTGGGTTGTGCTGCGTTTTTGTTGCGTTACGGGCCGTTTTTGGTTAAATTTTTTTAAAAAAAAGTTTAACATGGGCTTTCAGGCACTTGCATGCGTTTTTGTGTTTTGCATGCGTTCCAGAGCAGATTCAGAGAAGGTAAAATAGGGCTTGCCGCAGTTTTTTCACCTGCTCTGGATCTGCACGCTGCGATGTGAACTGGAGCTCAAAATACCATAGGAATACATTGGACGCAGTTTTGATCCGGTCTGCACCTGCTCTGCTCTGGATCTGCTCCGCGCTTGGTGTGAACAAGCCCTGAGGGACTGTTCACACGACGTCCGTTTTGTGTGCTGACCGGGTCCGTATGCTGCTGCACTCAAAATGCATCCCAATGTATCCCTATATGTTTTATGGGCTACAGTTCTCACGTGCGCAGTCCGTTCAGCTTACGACAGAAAAAATACTGCATGTCAGATTTTGTCCGGTCCGGAAACGCACGAACGCAACGCAGCGAAAACGGAACGGAAACGCAACACAGCTAAGGAAAACGTTAAGGGCCTGTTCACATGATATCAGGTCCTGATCAGGTCCTGATCAGGTGCGGATCTGCAGACTGATGCAGTGCGTTTTTGCCACGTTTTTGGCGCGTTTTTGATGCGTTCCAGTAAAAAAATTATTTTTTTTTGGCTGGAGTGGGGCTGTTAGTATGTTAGCTGCAGTGCAGTGCGTTTTTGATGCGTTTTGACGCGTTTTGACACGTTTGCGTTTCCTGACCGTACTAAATGTGACATGCCGTATTTTTTCTGTCGTAAGCTGAACGGACTGCGCACGTGAGAACTGTAGCCCATAAAACACATAGGGATACATTGGGATGCATTTTGAGTGCAGCAGCGTACAGAGCCGGTCAGCACAAAAAACGGATGTTGTGTGAACAGGCCCTTAGGAAAAAGTGACCTCAGAGACCTCATCTGCTGAATCTGCATACTGACAGCCCCTTGGCTAAAAAAAAATAAAAAATGAACTGTCAGCATCCGGACTGAAAACGCGTCAAAAACACACTGCACCTGTGAACAGGCCCTTAGGGGTTTATTACAATTGTTTTTAATTTTAGCCATTAATATTTATTATTTACTCTAAATGTGTTATGTGGGCATTTATGGTGTTTATAGTGCATACATTTTACTTCTAGCTGTAGTATACAGACATAAAAAACAGGTCTAGACTTTGAAAAAAAAAATGAATGCTACAACCTAAGCAATGTAGTTAGCACAGTGATTGTTGCATGTATGTTTATATATATAATTTTTTTTGTTAAAGGACCATACACACGCATTGCATCTGCATGACATGGGTTGCAACAACATGTGGTGCATACACTGTAGATTGGCACCCATCCATTGCTAGTGGACGTTGTGCATATATGCTCGAAAAAGGCAACTTGCCCTCAGCACACTGCAAAGCATGAAGTAGAGAACACGTGTTCTCAGTTGTGATTTGTGGTCTGTGTAAGCACACTATGGATTGAACAAACAATGTGCACCAACAGACCATAATGTAAATGGGAAAGTCTAGCCCTATTACAGTCCTCTATGTACTAGAACTATGCATACTTGTTCATAGTCTTTGTTTGTACTGGGTATCTATAGTGTTGTATGGTCAGATGATTACCTTAAGGCTAGAAGCCCGCATTCGATTTTCCCAGAGTTGTCCTTTAACCCTGTCCATATTGCTCTGGCAGATCTTCTTATCAGTTGTAAACTAGATATGGAGATTGTCTGCTCTAACAAAAATCCCGCACACTGCCCGTTCGGCATTGCGGTCATCAGAAGCCCGCCCCTCAGGGGGAGTGGCTTGCGATCATCGCAAGTACGATCTGCCTATGCAAGATAGGCAGATCGTACATTTTTTTAAGTACCTTACAACCATCGCAAGACAAAAGTCTTGCGATGGTTGTAAGGTGTGTGCCCAGACTCTGTTTGACCCTTGCAATGTGATCTGCACATGGCAATCTACTCTAAGCAATAGAAGCTATCTGTAGTCCTGTATAGAGTGTGCGTGTATGTATATGTATATATATATATTGTAAGAAAATGACACGAAATATGATTTTTTCAAATTATGTTTCATTCAAATTAATGAGAGTTCTAAAGATCCAAACCTCCCTTTTTTAGGTGTTTAGTTTCCAAGGAAGCATGTTTTCTAAATTCCCAGATGCCCATGTTGGTCACACAGATTTCTCAAAAATGTCTCTCTGTAGACCTGTTGGAACACTAGCTGTCTCCTTACAGGGCGATCATGGAACAGGTGTACCCTATATAGAAGTCCATTGATTATTTTGACCCTATCCCATTCCTTAGGATAGTAGGTACACTGCTCTGGTAAGGTTATTTTCATGAGTGGATAACTGACTCACTAACATGTCTGATTACTGGATTCCATTTTTGTAGAAGAATCATATGCTCCTTTTTGTAGCTGAATGTTTTCTGGTACCCCTAAAGATACATGCAGCAGTACATGAATAGGAAGCACTCTTCTCCAGCTCCTAAAGAGTAAACAATTTGCAAACCAGAAATGGCAATAGTCTTTTTGCACAGAAAGCAGCCACAGCATGTCCAGGTACGTCTTCCCATTCACCTTCTACTCTTCCACCCAGGATACCTGTAAAGAGCAGTAGCTCCAATATTTTCGCTCTGGCTTTTGTTTAAGGCTAAATTGGTAATAAGACAAGACAGCAAGCCACCTGTGACCAGTGGCATGCAGGTTGGCTGTAGTCAAAACATAGAGTTGTGAGAGGGTTGTTGTCAGCTCTCACCTCAAACTTAGCCTCATGCAAGTAATAATACAGCTTTTTGACAATGGCCCGTTTCAGGGTGTGCAATTTATGTAAAAAGAAAATTGTAAGGGAAGTTCAAGCATGTGCACATACTATGGCTCATGGTCCTGACCTTGACCTGTACATTGGACTCTGCTTTCTGC